CTCCGATACTAGGCCTGTGTCACTGCGCGTTTTCAGGGACAGGTTTGTTCTCAGCGACATTTTAGAACCGTTTTCCCGCGAAAAAGGAAGCTCCGCTGCATTTTGAGCGCATTCGAAATATAGCATATGAATGAAGAAAACTTAACTTCATTAAAAGGTCAAAGAAACATTTTTAGGTCGGTAGGCTTTGCTTACAGGTATGTAGGACTTTTTTTGATATTCTAAATTCGCGTCAAAATCGGTCTAAAAATAAACTGGTCAGTATGAAAACGTCGTGACACGAGTATAGCAAAGTTGCTTGCTCCGTGTCATGGGCTCCTGAGTAGCCAAGTGAAAAGAAGACAAAAATCTAAACTTTATCGAAATATCATGTAAAATGTTGGACAACAAATTGTGCCATATGAAATTAATTCTGAATGGGTTACATTTGAATAGTAACATCATTGGAGTTCGTCCACAGACTCAAAAGTTAGAGCCGCCCCTTTAGACTACAAGACTATTCAAAGTAGACGGACAGCAAATTATAGTAGTTGCTAAAAAATATATCTACGTGTCCCAACTGTTCATCAGTAGGATGCCTAAAATGCGTGCAATTCCACAATTGGTTTCGGCTCCATTAAATCCTGTACCAATAGCAGAACATTTTAGGAGGAGCCACCCACCGTGTGAGCACAGTCGCGGACAACACATATAAGTGACGAAAATAACGCAAAGCAAAACTAAGACGTTATTAAACGAACTAAGCTATGCAATTCATTCAAGTGAGTGAAAGGATAACTGACAGTTACCTAATATTTGTTTACACAATTTCATCTATTCCCGTCGTGTTTCTAGATTTTAGATCTTCAGCTTCGAGCAGTCACCCAGTGGCGAACCAAAGAAAACTCCAGAAGAGCTGAGAAAGACAAGACACAGCAAGACAAAGTTCAGCTGTTTTGTCGAAAGTGTCAGGTGCCTGCATGCAGTGGGGACAAGATTAGGTGTATCAAGGAGGCCCATCACGTGATTATTGATGAGAAATTCAGGTCCAAGTTTTCCTTTAGAAGAAACAAAACTCCGAAAGTGATTAACGGGGTTGAACTAACAGGTTTGAAATATTTCAAATTCAGTCAGAAACTAGCATGGAAGTATTAGAGATCGGCCAAAATGTGCTAATAGAGCTAACGAACAGCCGAACTGACTCGCACTCTGAAATGAGATTGGGCCTACTTCGCAGTCACTAAAAAGGGCGAATCGTTCTAGAACGACAGTTGATGTAGAGAGAATTAACGACGATAATATTCTGCAGCATTCAAACATTTTATCGACAAAGAAACAGTAGATGGAGAAAATTTATTGCAGACTGACAGGAATAGAAAAATTGTTCCCAAATATGTCTTTTTCAAGAATTACATGTAGTCTTGCCACTTACTCAAGCGATCAACCCCTTTCCCCCATCCTTCCCCCCCCCCCGGGCCCCTCCCCTAGATCTGCCACTGAGGAGTGGGCGATGAGCCAAAAACCAGCATTGGTGATGATACAGTCTGCGGCCAGGCAGGGGTTACGCTAACTAGATAAAGCAGAGGGGGACGCTTTGCAGGAACTAGACCAATCTCTCACAAACTCGCTCGGGCCACATGTCCCGAAACGCATAGGCCGCGCGAAATTATGACTCTTGATAGGGAAGAGTGAAAATACGAAAACGAAAAATAAAAACAAAAACAGAGTAATCTGAAGAAAAGTTCACCAGCCCTCAAGTTGTCTTTCTCGTTTAAAGGGAATTTTCGCAAAGGGCGACGACAACGGCGACAAGAAGTGCAAAACAGCAGGGGGGTTAAAAAGCAAAACAACAACTCTGCAAGTGCATCATACTTTTGGGTACATTTCGTATCCGTCAATATATGCGACAACGACGTAAAATTTACCTTTGAGACTTTTTGAGGACTTTGGGACTAATCTCCCTTCCTGTCGCCATCGTCTTTGCTAAAGCTCGTTATTTTTGCAGCCTTCGTACTGGCGGCTCCCTTTTACTCTTGCAACAAAGGATATGGCAGACGTGTTGAGTTCATGCTTCATGCTTGCTTTGTTTCTCAGGTCCTATACACTGTCAACATTGTGATGCAGAATGGGGCGTGATGCTGAAGTACAAATCAAGAGAAATGCCTTGCATCAAAGCCTCGTTCTTTGTCTTTCAATTTGAAGACAAATCTGGTGTCAAAACATCATTGTCTTTTAAGAAGTGGAAGGATGTGCCATTTCACGTAGAGGACTTCGATCTCAGCAATCACGAGGAGCAAGTCATGGATTTTTTCTTGGATTTACCGGAGCTGTGTTTAGATTAGCCCCGTCCCTGACTTGCATGCAATAATGAACGGATTGAAAATGAATTTCAGATGCAATGCTAGTGAAAACTGGAGTTGTATGTAATACGACTAATTATTGAATCAGTTTTGCTCTCTTTTGCTTTTTGACAGCAGGTTCGTATAATGATCCGTAGATGAGCATCTTATTTTTAGGTAGCCTTCTGATCGAAAGTGGCCCTCCGAAGCAAGTTGAATTTTGAATTTGAGTATTATCCTCCTGTCAAACAGATTTATTTAGGGGGTCAGGACCTATACGACCTTCCCCTGGATCCGCTTCTTGGTGTCCACCTTAGAAAGAGTTGAGTGTACTGTAGTTTCTTTTGCGAAATTAGGAAAGTAGATAAAACTTAGGCATGACTTAGTGCATGAGTCATTGAATTTTGTAAGAGTTCTGTAGTATTTCAAGCGGCCCCTCTCGCAGTTTAGCGATTGGTCAAGTTTCAAAATGTCTTTAATTAATCTTTCTGTTAAATTTACCTTTGAACTGAATATATTAAAAAAATTTAACCAAAAAGCCGAAACACTGGCAAGTAATACGACAATATACTATGTGTTGACCACGAGGGCGGTATTTTTAGCGTCGCAATCAGGTAAAAATCATTATTTCGTTCTACTTACGGCCTTCCTTTTTACTTGCTACTGAAAAGTAAAATAAAATATACACATTCCAGTAAGGATGTCAGTTCAACTTATCCCAAGAGAGAATGAGCTAGTGCTTATGCACACCGTTAAAGCAATTAATTTCTGTGTTTTTAGAGCTTCGTCACGCGTTCCTTCACGGAAGGAGTGAGGGGGGAACGAAGCCCCTGAGAACGTCTGCGTGAGGGAAGGTATTTATTTCCACGCCAGCGTTACGTATCAGTTTCTGCCTATAGCGTGTTCGAGGCTCCGAGATAGTCAGGTCCGCTGAATTGAGAAAGCACAAACACGAAAATAAAAAAGAAAGGAAAATTTTTGCGTGCCTTTTTCTTTCGCGTCTTCCCCACTAACTGAGAGCCTGGAACAGGCTAGTTTCTGCCCCGCACAGTTACTGGATTGAATGAAACGCGCAGTTCATGCGACAGTCTACTTATAAAAGAACTTGACACCCCTAAATTAAAAGCTGTCTTAAAGAAATGTGTCCAGTTTAGTGATCTCTTAAATTCATTCAAAGACGCTTACTTTAATGTTGTGTTAGGCAATCTATTCTAAAAACTTGGAGCTGCAAGTCCATTCTTTTTTAACCTACATTCGGCACAACTAAAAGTTCCTTCCTTCCTCTTGGGTGTTTTTCTCTTTGTGCCGTTACCACAATCCGAATACCTGGGACAGGCTACGGTTGTATACTATTTACATGGGCAAAACGGTCGGTCCACGGTTTGGGAAATCGTAAGCAAAATTCTGGATAAATTTCGTCCCGGAATAGCCGTTGCTACCTGACATTTTCCGCTGGAACAGCCCAAAAAGTCGTATATCATTTACTTTCAAATTGGATATTTTCCGCAACCTATTTATAGATGGTAAACAACCTTAGCCTGAATTTCATCCGATTAATTCGAATCGCTATTACTCCCTCAATAACAACGTTGCTGAGAAGAGGAAACGACTCGAAGCATATCGGATGAAATTCAGGCTAAAACCTTCGCCTCACCCGCGGGTTCCTTCTCGCATGCGACGTTTTGCGTACTCTTACATGAAGGAATCTCCTTTGTGCCACAGCGCTTATGCGCCTGCTAGGAAACCACTTTGCGAAGAACACAGTTAAAACTGAAATTCAAGCGTAAGCCTTACGGCTTGAGTATGCAGTCTTTCCATAGCGCTAAGGAGAGATTTGGAGTGGATGTATGCGTGACGAATGAGGATCTAACAAAGGCTCCAGAATGTCCACACGGTAGGCACTGATCGAACGTTAGGGTACCCACTGGATTTTCCTAGGTTGTTTCTTTTAACACCATTTAACTGATTTAAGCCAGAGAAACATGTGGTTAAAAGCAGGCAACATGTTCGAGAGCTTTATGAGAGTAAGGTTTGTCACTATATCTGCCATATGAATTTACCAAAGCATTTTCTGGCGGAAAATCCGAGAGATTCAAACTACTGACTCATGACTCATATGGCTCATGACAGACTCATTACAGATTGCCCCCAACCCCTCCCCTCCAAGAGGTATACAGTCAACTCTCTCTTCACGGACACCATTATAAGACGGACACCTCTCTAAGATGGACACCTGGTGTTGGTCCCTGTAGTTTTTCAGTCATTTTATTGTAACTCTTCTCTCTATAAGACAGGACAACCCTCTCAGACGGACAACAGACACTAATTTTGAAATTGTCAACAGACCCTTGGGAAGAGCTATGTGCAGTGAAAAATCCCTCAAAACCGAAGTGTAGGTGCTCTGCATGACAGTAAATTGCAAAATTTTGATTATTTTGTAGTCTTGCTCCAGTTCGCGGAGTATACTCTGTTACACTTTTAGACCACAAAGAGGTGAATGTTAGCTTTATGAATGAGCCTTTGATTGCACAATAAGAAAATGATTCCACTTTTTTTGCTACAGTTTAAACTGTTTTGTACAAGTTAAACAGCTGTCTTTTCATTGCGAATACATGTAGGTTCAGCGTTAATTTCTTAAAATTACTGGTGTCATGTTACCTTGACTCTCTTCAAGATGGACACCTGTCTAAGAAGGACAGTCAGGGCCAGTCCCAAAGATGTCTGCCTTAGTGAGAGTTGACTGTATATTGAGAATTAAAGATATTGAGATTCTGAACTTAGAGCTGGGAAACGTAGTGAGTAGTCGGAAAAAGAGTTGCTTTATGCCCCAAACTTCCTTGTGGAAGGACTTCCAAGCTGTAAGCTTAAGGGTATAAGAAGTATTTTCTGTGGAAGTCACATATCATTTTAAACCTGGAGCAGCAAACATCACGATCAATGAGAGATTTAGACTTAATTTATCAGTGAGTCTATGCATTTTGGTGGCAGCGCCAAGTCATTTCAGGGTTTGCAGTAGGACACTCCTGGCTCATGAAGACATTGCTGAAGAATGTTAAAATTATAAACAACTGCACTAAGTTGGCAATTCATGCTTTGCTAATCAAATGTGACCACCAGGGAATGTTCTTTAGATCAAGTTTACTATCAAACTTGGAAACGAACCCCACAGTTGCTCCAACAAATTTCTTCGAGTGTGATTTTTCAAGAAAGCATTAGAAGTCAGTTGTTAGAGCGTAAGATAGTTAATGAAACTAGGAGACTTAGGACAAAGTCAGGAGACTTGGCAAGTCTGTCATTGACTCATTTACACTTAATTCTCTTTCTCTACAGGAGTGTCATCTTGACTTAGTCACCCTATTGATCTCTGTCACCCCAATCACCCATCTCACTTTTCTTTTGTAGGGCCCATGCTTCTGTTTGAAAGATTCTTTNCTTGGAAACGAACCCCACAGTTGCTCCAACAAATTTCTTCGAGTGTGATTTTTCAAGAAAGCATTAGAAGTCAGTTGTTAGAGCGTAAGATAGTTAATGAAACTAGGAGACTTAGGACAAAGTCAGGAGACTTGGCAAGTCTGTCATTGACTCATTTACACTTAATTCTCTTTCTCTACAGGAGTGTCATCTTGACTTAGTCACCCTATTGATCTCTGTCACCCCAATCACCCATCTCACTTTTCTTTTGTAGGGCCCATGCTTCTGTTTGAAAGATTCTTTAAAGATGGCCGATCACCTCGTAGGTTTTATGCATGCTCAGCATCTAGAGACAGAAAGGACTGTTCATTTTTTCAGTGGGAAGAAGAAAAAATTTCAGAAGCCAGGAAAAAAGCCCATAAAGAAATTATAAAAAAATCAAGATTACCATTTATTGAAGCTTGTCATAAGTATCAGAGCATATTTGAATCATTGGACAATTTGCAAAGGAAAAAATGTTTGTTTTGTCATTCTTGTGGCCTGCTGTTTATGCCAAAGGAGAAAGGAAAACACCGTACCCATGAATGTGAACAGGCAGGTGATCTCAGGAAACCAACAGTGATGATGAGGCCAAGAGAAAATGAGAAGACACAAGCTGTAAGTTCAAGGGACCTACATTTTATTTATAGTACTATAACTGCACTGTAGTCACCAAATTACTAGTCAATGTCTTGTGTATCTGTTACAAGTCAAATTTGATTATAGGTAAAAAAATTTTAACCTAGGTTGATCTCAATTTCCTTTTTCTTCTAGGGCTAGGAGACAATTATGGAAATTGAGAATCAACCTAGGTTAGATCAAAATTAACCTGAAATCAAATTTGACTTGTAACATATCCATGCTTGCTTTTGTTTTTCTTTGCGTTACCTTGTCTCTTCGTGCCCCATTATGCATGAGGCCTTCACACTTCTCCACCAACCTGCTATCTTGAAAAGTGTGTCTGGTTTTACAGGGATGGGACATTAACCCTTTGCCCAACCCCTAACCTGGAGGGCCAGGCATTGCAATTTATTCGTCTGGCGTTTTACCCAAAACCTTGCAAGCATGGTTGAACCCACCAGGACCAAGGTCCTCACTGTTATAGCAACCACCAAATTATGGCGCAACACTAAACAAGGAGGATTCTTTTATATTACCTTGCTTTATTGTTTTAATTTTTTTTTGGTCTTGAGAAACAACAGAGAAAAGTTCAAAGGAAACAGCTGATCCTGATATTATGTATAACCAGAATTTCCATTTCCATTATGTATAACCAGAATAACCATTTCCATTCTCAACGTATTTGCATGTACATTGTATTTTATCAAATGTTGTAAAAATGCCTTTTTTTCCATGAAATTTTTTTGTTTCAGCAATACTTCTTTTCAAGGAAGGCAACTAAGTTCATAGCTTCCCTTTTTGAGGATTTAGGCTTCAAGAATGTTTTATGTGTTGGAACTCCAAGGTACTGTTTTAGAATAAAAATTATTTGATTGTTATAACCATTTATTGAGTGCCCTTGTGATTAAGAATGAATGCCACCTTATTAGCCAATCAGCACTTGCCTGTATGTTAAAAGTACAGTCAAACTAATACATATACATGCAATATCATTCACATTGTCGTTAATTTTTTATTTTCAGACTTCATGAAGAAATTCAATGTAGCCGTCAGACATCAGATGGGCATCTTGATAGTCTCCTTATGGATGTTGACTTCCGTTATGTATGTTATCATACAAAGATGATTAAACCTTTTTGACTAGTAATTGTCTTTGATTGCATGTTAGGGTGTCCTTGATTATGCCAGTTATGGTTGCTACTTTTTTTCAACACAGGCCCAGTTTTTTCCATCTTCCAAGTTTTGCTTGTACAACATGTTCAATCATTTCTTCTTTGAGAGTGTTACAAGTGAGAAGGTATTCCAAGACTTTCTGAGGAGAGAGGGGCTAGTTTTGGTGATGGACCCTCCATTTGGTGGTTTGGCTGAAGTTCTTGCTCACTCTGTAAAGATAATTTGGGATCAGTGGAGGAAAGTTAATAGTGATGGTAATGTTTTTAAAAATAATTATCTGCATTCCNAGGGTGTCCTTGATTATGCCAGTTATGGTTGCTACTTTTTTTCAACACAGGCCCAATTTTTTCCATCTTCCAAGTTTTGCTTGTACAACATGTTCAATCATTTCTTCTTTGAGAGTGTTACAAGTGAGAAGGTATTCCAAGACTTTCTGAGGAGAGAGGGGCTAGTTTTGGTGATGGACCCTCCATTTGGTGGTTTGGCTGAAGTTCTTGCTCACTCTGTAAAGATAATTTGGGATCAGTGGAGGAAAGTTAATAGTGATGGTAATGTTTTTAAAAATAATTATCTGCATTCCATATGACTTTAACTGGAATATTATAATTTAATAAAATCTAACTAGTGGTCTATTACTGATTGGTTTTAAGCTACTAGTAGGCTATACGTTATAGCCCCCTAGTAGTGAAAAGCGAGGGCTGTTTGGTGGCAAAAAAGGATTGAAGTCTAGCTTTAACTAGCTAAAATTTTTTATTCTCAATATTTTTGACCAACTTGTTAGATTTTACTAAAAAAAATTATTCCTCTCGCCCTCATTTCGTCTGAGTCAATAGCCCATTCGGCCTTCAGCCTCGTGGGCTATTGACTCAGAGCCCATTCAGGCTCAAGGAATAACTGTTAAATACACTCGAGCCCCCCATTAAGAGGCTGAGCCAGGTCTGAAGTTTTTTTTCTGGTTGAAGAGATTTTTTGGGTGATGCGGAGATGGAATTTGTTATGGGATTTACAAAGAACAATGTTACATTCGCATTTTATCTCATTCACTTGTCAAAATCGGGAATAAAAAACTTTGAATTTTTGCAAAAGATCAATTATGTCAGTCTGTTCTTCATATTCTTGCTGCTTGGATTGTACATGAATGTGATGAGATGCAGACTGCACACAGGATAATGATCATTCAACTTTCTTGGAATCAAGGTCTGGAATGGACTTCCAAATCAGGACAAGATTCTTATACACGTAATGATTTTAAAAGGAACTTCAGAAAACATTTTCTTTAAGCTAACCTAGTATTTCGTGTGTGCGCGCTATATATATCCTGTAAATATTTATGTTTTTATTAATTTAATATTTTATTCAATTTGTCTAATATTCTTTAATTAAAATGGTTTGTTCTTTAATTGAGTCATATTGAAGTAGAAGAGTCCTTATAGGGAGCCTCGATGAGGTATTCTATTCTTTTCTAAGTTTCTATTCTACTGTGAATACCAAAAACAAGTATTATTTATTTTGTTGTAGAATTTAAAGATAAGGAACTACCTACCCTTTGGATATTTCCATATTTCATGGAGCCTCATGTAAAAGCAGCACTTCCATCTTTAACCATGCTTGATTATAAGGTAAAAAAAAAACATCTTTTTGCATTACGGCTTCATTTTTTCCCCACTTGTTTCTGAGCCTTTGGGGCTTCAAGCATAAGCTGTGTTGTTTCTGCTTTTAAAGGTCAAGTTCTTTGCACAAATCGTTTCTTTGGGCCTCTGACATTTTTTCACTAATAAATTCACAATCTTGGGTTTCAACATTCTCAACCTCCACAACCTCGGCCATGTTTTCTTCGTGCCCAAATATGCCCGAGGTCAAGAGCGCGCTTACTCACCATCTTCCCGCGTTTTTGGTGCTGGAAAATTGACCAATCACAGGTGTTGTGAAGCGTAGCAAGTTGTGACGCAAATAATAAAATTGAAAGTTTGTTGCAAAAAGTAGAACTCAACATCGAAATTTGTTGCGTGACAAGTTGAGAGCGAAGGTGGTAATACGGGCAACAACGCTTTTCAACTTGCAATGCAACAGTGTTGCGCGACAAGTTGAGCGAAAATTTTGCCCGTATTACTTGACCTTAACGTAAGCTGCAACAATTCTTTTCTCCTACCATCACGGAAACTATCCAAACTTTGTTTGCATTTTGACAAGATGTAAACGAAGGGAGAAAGTTTGGTCAAAATAGATCTTTTTGGTCGCAGGAATGTGCCTGGAGAACCTTTTTGACCAAATGGAACACAGTGAAATTTTTAAAAGAAATTATTCAACCCTGTTGTAAAAACCATTCAGATGTTCTAAAATTAGAGAAAAAACACACTTGACCGATTTTCTGACTAGAAGCTTGTAACCTAACCTAAGAAAAGAGCCCGCATTTTGCAGCGCTACCATTGGATTCCACGCGGAATGACATCTGAGGATGAAGCGCAGAAATTCCATTCTGATGACGTGTCACTACTCAGATTTGCATAGTGCTTCTGAATGATAGAATCAAATTTCCTGCGCGGCACGACCAATCAGAAGCATTACCCAGATCTGTGTAGTGAACGTCATCAATATGTAATTTCTGCAGTCGTTTGATCCTTAGATGTCATTTCTCGGGGAACCCAGTGGAGTAGCATCGTGAAAAGTCGGCTCTTCTCTCAATCTACTTGTAACCTTACACCTGCATATCCCTTTAAGTCGCAAGAGTGACCAACATCAATTTTCTCCCAACAATATCAGTACACAATCAAGAGAAAAGGTTGTGAGAATTCATAAAATAATCACCTGAGGGAAAATGCCTTGATCTTTTATCAAATTCTCTCAACTTATTCTTTATAGAAATGTATAGAGACCAGTTTGGAGAATCTCTATGTTGATACTGGGGATAAAGGGATATGCAAACCTTAATAACGCGATCTCTATTTCGTTTTTGTGCAGGTTGACTATGACAATCATCCACATTTTAAAAGTAAAAACATGAAAGGATCTAAACGGGGTTCACCTGTGAGAATTTTTACCAACATAAATGCTGCTGACATCGTTTTACCTGCAGAAGAAGGTTACAGGTATTCTTTTTACTTCCCACAATGTTAACCTTTTTAAAAGCCCAATATCCACAATACGGACTGGTCTCCATACATTTCCTTAACTAATAAGCTGAGAAAATAAGATAAGAGATCAAAGCATTTTATTTTGGGTGAACTTTTTACTAATTCTCATAACCTTATTTCCTGATGATGTACGGATATTGTTAAGAGAATATTCATGTTCGTCACTTTTGGGAGAGAAAAGCAAACGTCATTTCCTCTCGTCCTTTCCCCTGATAACTCCCTTCATGGAAAGGACAACCTGTGATCGAAAAACAGACGGACGAACCCACAAACCGACGGAGTATTAAACGGACGGACGGACGGACGTACCGATGGATAGAAAAACGGACAGACCGACGGACGGATCGATAGAAAAACGGACGGACGGACAGACAAACGAACGGACGGACAGAGGGAAGGACAAACAGACGTAGGCACGGACGGACGGATAGTCGTCAGTTGAAAACGATGTGTTTGAAAGTTAGCCTGTGAAGTTGCTTGACTGTAGCTTATGTCAATAAGAATTAAAAACTGAAATATATACTAAAAGTATCTACAAATGTGAGATTGTCGACAGTATGCCAAATATATACAGATTCATCATTTCTAAAACTACCAATAGATACGGTTGTTACCTTAAAACTTGAGACTAAATTCATTGAAAACACCCATAGATTCATAGGTTCTATATTGAATATCATTTGCCAGGACACTATGTTTTTTGGTCACTACGTTCCTTAGTACTGAGCCTCAGTACGTGAGAGTCTTTTATGCAGCAATTGTTGAAACGGGGAACTATTAGTGAGTCACGTGTCAGGGATGAATAACTTCTGGCTCGTTTCTTTTGCGATACAATCACTTAGAGTAACAGGTTATCCGTAGTAGTATAGTAGTGCGCATTATGAAAACTAATAACAATAGCAGATTTATAATAAAGAAGCGGTCTTGCCACCGCATGCGTTGCTGAGTTTAGACATGGGAATCAAAATCCACACTAGCAACTCTTTATTTTAATTCAGATTTTGTAAGAGCTGTAACAGATATGTGGCACCTGAAAATATCCACTGTGGCAAATGTAATGGTTGTATGTCAAAGGTATGTAATCATTAACTAAATTCCTACTCGGTCATACGATTTACACTTAATCAGCGTAGTCATTGTCTTAACTTTTCCTAGAAGGTGTGGATGTACGTATACATGCATGTCTGATTGTTTTATCCTGTGGGAAAGGTGCTTGATATTTTGCCAACCTATTATTAAACATGAAATATTCATACACTTTGTGAATTCTGGACCCTTAGTAGCTGACTGGAATCATTATTGGCTATATTGCAGTTTTTCGTGGTTTAATGACGTTAATGAATTTTACGAAGCATAATCTAGTTGGTCGTAAAATTTCAAGGTTTTAAGGTATTCGAGTGCTTTGTTCCTTTGTTCCAAAAGAATGTGGCTGTAGATGGTTGAAGAAACGGGGCGGTGAGACGTGCAAAGGGCTTTTTGAACATTTAATGGCTTTTCATTGAAAAAAAAAGGGTAAATAAATAAATAAAAAAAGCATCCCGTCTTTAATGCCAGGGCACTGAGGGCCTCGTGCTGTATTTGAACTTCTTGGTCATTCTACAGCCTGCGCGTGCCTTTGTTTACCTATCAAGCACTCACATCGATTTCTTACCTAAATTTGACCGACTGAAATAGCCTGCCTAATTAGTACAGGCTAATTAATGTTATGCGTTGGGTTAAACAAGGAGAAAGAATGAAAATGACAACTTGTAAAACATGAATTTTAACGGTTAGTTTTATGTATGTCATGTTTTTGTAGGACGGACGACAGTATGTTCACTGTGAGATGTGTGGCAAATGTGTTAAGCCAGGTAACAATAATTTGTTTAGTAAACTTAAGTTTAAGGGAAGTGCTTTTGAAATTTCAACAACAACAAAACTCAGTTTTATTCTTTGCTGTGACAGGCCTAGAGCACTGTATGACTTGTGATCGTTGTGACTTGAAGGGACATGCTTGCAAGAGGTAGGTTTCTTTTCAGTGATAACTGGATACCTTATGAAACAACGACGCATTCCGTTGGTTGATGATTACACCATCACAACAGCAAGAAACAACATTCAACCACAGAGCGTTAATTAATAGGTTTATTGATTATTATGGTGTTGCTTCGTGTGTTTGTTTGTCACGGAATTTATTGAAATTCGTACAGGGGTATCTGTCGTCAAATTTTAACGAAACATAAAATAACCGCTCAAAACATAAAGGAAGGATATAGAATAAGGGACGGATGGACAAAATTGAAGAAGAGTAAAGGGAACTGAAAATTGAGGTTTTGGAAAACTTGATCTCGAACGTAAAATGAGGCCTCGTCCACAAGTATCCGGACATTT